AAGTATTGCCGTAGATAATGCATCATCAAATGATACTTGTTTACAATACATGAAGAGTTCTCTAAAAAAATCGGGGTGGGGCTGTTGTGAAAGGTTTATATCTTCACATGAGGTGTGTGGCTCATATTGTTAATCTTGTGGTTCAAGATGGGTTGAAGATAATGTCTCATCTTGTTCAACGCATTCAAAATGCTGTCAAGTATGTGAGAAGCTCAACTGCAAGAATGAATAGCTTTAAAAAATGTGTCACAATCAGCAAGGTAACTAGCAAGGACACCTCTCTCTTGATGTATGCACTAGATGGAACTCTACATTTTTAATGTTGGAGACAGCAGTGACATTTGAGAGGGCATTTGATCAACTTCGACTTCAAGATCCCTCCTATAAGGAAGAGTTAGATTTGCTTGGGGTTGAAGGAGAAACAGGCCCTCCAACTCATGACGATTGGGTTTATGCTAGTGAGTTCAAATTGTCCCTCCAACACTTCTTTGTGCTGACAAATAAGGTTTCTGGCACTAAGTACGTCACGTCCAACACATTCTTTGAAGAGGTTGCTGCTATTAATTACTTGCTAGATAAGTGGAGTGAACGTGTGATCTGTGGTGATGATGAAGTGTTCAAAAACATAGTTGTTAAGATGAAGGACAAATATGATAAGTATTGGGGCGATCCAGAGAAAATGAACAAATACATATTTATTGCTGCTATTCTTGATCCTAGGTAAAAATCTTATATTCATTTGTTCATTCTTGTTATAATTCAATATATAGCTCCTGCCCTTATGAGTTATGACATGCTAACTTTGATTGCTCTTTCTATGCAAGGACCAAGGAATCTGATTTCTTCAAGGATACGATCCAACAGACATATGGGGTAAGTAAAGGTAACATGATATGGAGTTCTGCACACACTGCATTTGTGTCACTTTCCGGTGAATACAAAATATTATATGGCGTGAACGAATCAACACCACAACCTGCATCTAGTGATTGTGCTAGTGAGAGTTCAACACCACAATCAGATCCCATGCTTATGAGAGATTTATATAACAAGAGGACGAAGCTAACTACTGGTGATGGTAGTAGTAGAAGTGAATTAGACAAGTACTTAGCTGAAGATGTAGAAGAAAATAGTCCTCAATTCAAGGTTCTCAATTGGTGGAAAGACAACTCATTGCGCTTTCCTATTCTTTCAAGAATGGCTCGCGACATATTAGCAATTCCTATTTCAATCGTTGCTTCCGAATCAGCTTTTAGTACTAGTGGGCGTGTTCTTGATGGCTTTCGAAGCTCCTTGACTCCGATGACACTCCAAGCCTTGATTTGTACACAAGATTGGCTTCGTTGTAAGCATATCAACATCGAGGCTGATCTAGAGGAGTTGTCTAAACTAGAAGAAGGTACTAATTATACGCATAAACCATGAAGCACACCTTGCTATTACTGAGTACTAACCATTATATTGTGTTTTTCATGTAGGGGTTCTAGATCTCCCAGCTTCAAGGGAGAATGAGGATCTCTTTATCATTGACTGATGTGTCCTCGAAGCAACAAAGCTATTTTATTTTGGGTAATTAGGCTGATGGGAATCGTTGAAGGTTGAAACTACTTTTGGTAATTAGGCGGCTGGCATGGTAGTTTAAGTCTGAAACAATGCTGCTGAATATTTTGGTAAATAGTTGCCCTAGGGCAGCACTACACAACCTGAAAAACTGCAGTTATACACATGTTCTGTACTGAACTAGTGACTAATGTGTAAATCTTCTATATATGCTTGTGTACTAATTATGATATGCTAAGGTACACTATGCTTGTTCTGTTCTATGCGTGATGGGATGAATATGACGGCCCTGATGGATGAATGTTGATGCTCTTTGCTCTGTACTAAGTTTGAATATGTACAACCATGTGAGCTTGGTTGTCTACTTGTCTCGTATATGTGAACCTGTGATGGCCCTGCCCTTGATGGTTGAATGGTGAATTGCTGATGCTATTTACATTCAAGCTTGATCATGTACAAAATATTTACTCATCGAAATATGTAACCAGAACTTAAAAATTGTTGCCTTATTTTCAAATTCGCGTAAGCTTTGATTATTTTGGTATGTACCGAAACCATACCGAAATATTTTGGTATATACCAAAACCGAACCATATTTTATTTTCAAGCCGTATTTACCGACGTATCAATACCATATAAACCAATAAACCATATTTACCGAACCATGTAAACCGAATAAACTGAACGCACAGAGTGACATCAAACAGATAACATCAGCGAAATATTTTTAGTTTTTTGAACTTAAAAATGTTTTATCTCCTAAATTAAAAATCCGCTTTCATCATTAAATCCGTCTTAAAAAGATATTCAAAACTAAATCACATATTGATATGTTTCAATGATTTCTTTAGGGCCAAAAGTTGTCATGATGTTACACTGAAGTTGTCGTGATGTGTTTCATCTATTTATTTTCTTCTGAATTTAAAGCTGCCATTGTATTTCAACTACCTTACACGACAAATTTTATTAATTGACTATGGTAATTTTTAGTAATTAACCACAACAAATTTAATTCATGGATCATGGCAATTTTTAGTCATTCATCATGGCAATATTAGTTTATGATCATGTCAATTTTTGTATTTTGACCATGACAATTCTAGTATTTTGATGGCAAATTTTAATGCATGTATCATGGCAAATTTAAATAATTCACCATGGCAATTTTAGTTTCTGGTTCATGGCAAATTTGAGTCATTGACTATAATTAACGACGGATTTCTTTCTCATTATGAACCATGCCAAAAATAATAATCATGGACCATGGAAAATTTTAGTAACTCTCGATGACAAGTTCAGTTTTTTAATTTCCTTTATTATAACATGTCAAAAATTACTTTAAATGTAAAAGAACAAGTAGTTGAACACATAACACGGCAACTTCTATGTAGACACCATGGTTATTTATGTGCAATAGACATTTTAACTTTTGACTGCTAAAAAATATCGTCAAAACATATCGATATGAGATCTAGTTTCAAAGTCCTCATCTCGATGGATTTAGTGGTGAAAACAGATTTCCAATCAAAATTTTCATTTAAGAGATAAAAACATTTTAAAATTTAAAAACCCCAAAAGATTTCGACTAACATCACACGCAAGTGTGGAAAGAACAAAAAGGCATCATCTGTTCTTATCCCTATTTACATGCAACTGTAGAAAAAACAAAAAGGCTAACGTGTCACAACGGGTGGCTAGAAAGGCGGTTTACCCGACCTACTTCAGCCTACACTTATGGGCGGAATTTCTTCTGAGTCACACGTGTGACACTTATCATGGTCTTTTTTTAAATGAGCTCTATAAAACAGAAAGTTGGAAAAATACAATAAACACCAATCTTATCTTGCTTTCTCTCACTTGCCCTAGAATACCCACATAATACATTGTTCTAATTGGCTTCTTGTGTCATCGGTGCAACGGGCATCTAGTGTTAGAAAAGATAAATCAACACCGCCGGTCACCAATACGCAAACAGCTGTTTCTTTCAAATGCAATAATACGTGTACACCTTTCGTGTGCACGCCTTTCTTCTTATTAATTAATCATCTTAACTTTGCTACAAAAGGCCATCCCAACTACTCACAAGGAAAGTAGAACATACTTCACCGGCACAAAAGAAACCAAGCCTGCCACATCAAACTTGCAAGGCTTCCCAATGAATGGATTCTCAAAGAGAACCAAGTTATCGACAGCTGACCATGTTGCAAGAAGGGCTTGCGAGTTAGAACTACTGGATATGGGGATGAAGACGTCCACGCCGAAGGAAGACTTGCATTCACCAACTTGTGAGCTAAATGCACAGGCTTATACAAAAGAAGACTGTTTCTACCAACATGGACCCCGTAGACAAATATACAGCTGGGCCCAAATTAGAGTTAGAATTCAACAACAAAAGGATTCGCCGTTACAAGAGCTATCTCCAGCAATCTAGAACCAAGCTGCTTGTAAGGTGGTGCCAAAATGGAACAGAAACAATTATCTACCTGACATTGAGGTAACTACAATTAGCTTCAGAGTTAGGGGATGCGGTGCGCTATCATCTGAGCGGCTTCCACGGTACGTAAGACCTAGCAACAAGGCACGAAATTGGAAAATTGAAGTAAATACTGACAATCGCTTACTGAGATAAGCTTGAGATGAAAATACTCAGTTAACTTGAAGATGTCACTGCAACAGCATTAGCATGTTTATATTCAAGATTCAAGTCCACTAACATAATTAACTTGGCCTTGCTACCCAGATTAAAAAAAACAGTCAAGTTATATGTGCATATTCCTTCAAATTTGTGAGCAAATTCTGTTACTGGATTATTTTTCAAAGGTGTAGGTCAAAAGCACAACTTACAGCTAACTAGCTATATTAGGCAAACTGCATAATAATTGACGTAATGCAGCACCAAACGTAACTGTTTAGGTCCAGTTCTTTTGGCCGATTCTCCCAGAATCTTGAGAATCGAACCTTCACTCACGTTCTCCCAGAAACATGAACCTGTATTTTTTTTGACAATCCTAGCTGTTTTCATCCTAACTAGCTAGGATTGTCAAAAGAATATGGGTTCAAAATTCTGAGAGAAGTTGGGAGAGGTCCAATTCTCAAGACTCTGGGAGAATCACCCAAAAGAACTGAGCCCAGCTGGTTTGGTGTACTTTCCTAGACCTATTACGTGTCAATTCCCCAAATTCCAGTAGAAGAAAAATAATAGCTAGAAGAGAAATAAAGTGCGAGTGTTATCAGTTCCATAATGGTTGATAAAACTTATTGTGCAGTTCACAAAAAACATCTTGATGACATGTGCTTGCATTGAAGGAATCAAACATGCTAAGGATTTGACAAAAATATCTTGCATCGCAGTCACACAAACACCGAGGAATAACTTAAGGTAAGAGGGATACCTGTACAGTAACTTTACAACAGAAAGCAATGTTCTGCAGAAGATATCATCATCCTTCTCCCGAATTTGAAGGATGAGCATATAAACTGCCTTGAACATCAGGTCTCTGCTGCTGCTGCTGCTGCTGCTGCTGAGTCTGAAGTTGCAGCCGAGCCTGCTGTTGCTGCCGCTGGGTACCAATAACATTTCCATGTATAGGAACACCCCCTGACATTTGCCTTTGCAGCATGCCTTGGTTAGGTGCTGACAAGAAAGCTTCATTTCCAACAAAGCTATCTTGAGGCGTGCTAGCTAGCTGCGAGGTCGAGGTAACAGCAGTTGGATCTTGAGATGAATCCTGTTTCCGATGTTGTATAGATGAAACACCTGGGCTACCTGAGTCTGTACTCCTTGCAACTGATGTAGACGAAATTAACTGATTGACTTGATCAACAGGCAACTCGATCCTAACATCGCTGTTCATATGGCGGTTTGGTTGCATCATCAATCTTTGGATATTATTATGTGATGGATTCATGTGCCGCTGTTGTTGCTGCTGTTGTGTAGCCAATTGCGATGATGAATGAACTGGAGCTTGTTGGGAAGCTAACAAGGTCTGGTCGGGAGAACCCTGTATTGAACCTTGATTACCAATATCTGATGATTGTATTGGTGACTGAGGTGTATGAGAAGCATACATTTTTGGTTGATTCCCAGGCTGAGGCACTGATGGAATCAATCCCTTATTACCAGTAAAATACGCTGGGGCCTGCTGCATCATATTTGTATCCGAGATTTGGTTTTTTGAGGTTGCGGGAATGCCGCTGAGTTGAGTACCATCAACTGAAGGATTCTGCTGCGTCATATTCCCTCGGCCTAAGCTCTTCATTAGCTTAGCTTGCTGGCTACCTTGATGTCGTTGCTGTTGGTTTTGTCTTAACTGCTGCTGAGCCTGTTGCTTCTTCTGCTTATGTGATGTACTATTGGCAGGCTGATTGGGAAGAACCGAGCTATCTTGTGGATGTTGCGTCGGGTGCTGCTTCTTATGCTGTGATTGTGAAGATGGGACAGCATTGACAGCAGATTGTGGCTGCGTTTGTGAACCATTCTGCACAGTTGGCACTGCACTAGCTGCAGAAAGTGGGTGCTGTTGTTGGGACATCATGGATTGTTGAATGTGTCTCTCTTTAGCTAACCGTGCATAAGCCTGATGCTGTGGGCTTGACTGGTTTGCCCCTCGGATATGAGAGTGCTGTGTATTTCCAAACATGTGCGCCTGTTGTGGCATCTGACGTGGTTGGGACTGCTGAACAGGAAATGACTGAACAGGTGAAGGTGTTCCGGCATGGGGAAATGATGTGCCACTGAAATGGATAGCCTGGCTATTCCCCTGTGGAACTTGCATCTGAAACTCCTGCACCATCATTTGTCTGTGCTCTTCCAAATTCTGGCCAGGCTACAAGAAACAGAGGTGTAGCATCAGCAATGCCGTACCCCAAAAGAAAAGAAGTTACTCCTATATTTAATCTTAGTTTTTTTTTATTAAGTTAAATTTGATACCACAAGTACGCCAGGTCAAGCAAACATCACTAACTGGGTCATACCAAAAGAATAAGAGATGCAAGTTGCTAAATGGATCACATTGTAATGAACCAATAGTATCTTACTCTCTAGCTGTGATATCCTTCACAACTTCTAACGCACCATCTTGAAACGCACATCCAGGAATCACTTTTAATATACCAGAATACAGTCTTTTAGTTCATTCATAGTAGTCGATGAAAATTGAACAATAATATGTAGCTGTTGTGGACATTAGTACATTGCCTTAAATCAGCATCAGATGTATTACAGACAGACAGCTGGCAAGGCGTACAATTGATATGTGAGTTCAGGAAGCGACCGACTTGAACTTGGAAAGATGAGCTGGAGACAGGATTGGGAATGTTTAATTCAGAACAGCAAGGATTAGGTAAGTATGGATTCAGATACTCGTATTAGTGGGTTCCTAGTTAAGAGTACAACACCTTGGGTGTCAACCTATGTGTACCCAGTCCCTCAGAGCCAGGCCGTCTAGCTATCTCCACCACGGTAGGCGGGGACGGTCCATGCAGCTTAAAAAACCGACAGGGTCGCTGGTTCTGTTTTTTTCCGGTCAGACCAGCAGTCCAGTCTGGTTTTAAAAAACTATGATACAAACGACAGCAGAGCAGCCAACTATAGCAACTCTGGCAGACGTAGCAGCAAAGCTCGATACACAAAGAGCAAGCGCGAGAAGAAAGCCAGAAGCACCGTCAGAGGAGCTGCGGCAGTGCAGCCAGGCACAAGAATGATAGAGATCGACACAACAGGAGCAGCAGCAACATGCCCAAAAGAACCAGGAGTGACCACGATGTTGCTATGAGCAAGGCCTACAGCATTAGCTCCGGCAGCGGCAACAGCATTGTGTACAGATGTGACGTGTGATTTTGCAGCAGTAGCAGCAATTGTGCCAAGGCATGGACTTCTGGGAGAAACGAAACCATGGTCGCTAGCCTGCAGCTTGGGGACAAGCTGCTTGTCCAGGAGGGGGTGCGTTGTGGACATTAGTACGTGGACTCAAAGCAGCATCAGATGTATTGTGGCCGGCCGGCCGGCAAGGTGTGCAACTTGTATGTGAGTTATGTACAGAAAGAGATGCCCAATGAGATTCAAGGAGTTGGCTAGGGCAGAGTTCAGGAAGGATCCGACTAGAACTGAGAAAGATGAGTTGAGACAGAATTAGGAATGCTTAATTCTGAACAGCAAGGATTAGGTAAGTATGGATTCAGAGACTCATATTAGTGGGTTCCTAGTTAGAGTACAACACCCTAGGTGTCAAGTTGGGAGGTATTATAAATGTGCAGGTCATGTAAGGTTTGGAAATCAAGCAAGAATAATCAATATATGATCTCACCCAAAATTATTCTCTAGTCCCAATCTATGTCTACCCAATCCCTCGCTGCCATGCTGTCTGGATATCGGCGGCATGGTAGTTATCTCATTGTTGACCAGCGATCACAACAGTAGCTGGTTTGTCATTCTTAGACATATAGGAGGCCAAGAAAGGAGCAGGGTGAAAGTGGTTTTAGCATAACTTAAAAGCTGGTTTGTCATTCTTAGACATATAGCAGGGCAAGGAGGGAGCAGAGTGAAAGTGGTTTTAGCATCACTTAAAAGAGCAAGTGTCAATACCCATGAAGTCTGTGGGCTTCTCTCCAGATGGAAAGGTAATACGGCCTGCTCAGAAAACAACCAGCAAACATTTGCTGCGGGGAGTCTGGGACAAGTATTGGCCTATATGGTAAACCAACCAGTCTTGGCAGTAAATGTTGGAAAAACACTGTTTTGTTTATATTGGCACTGTCAGAGATGACGTGTATCACCAGACAATTGTTAAGGATCATCAGTTAACCAGTACATCATTTTAGCAAGAAGGAAAGACAGATGGCATGCATAGCACTTTCTACTAAAGTGCTTCTACCAAACCGGTCAGTGCAAAAAGAAGATACACTGAATTTACATATCATAATACAATATGAAAGGGGATGCGTACCCGAAGCATCTGCATCGGATCACGTGGCCTCAACATCATATTTCCAGGGCCAGGTACAGCACCAGGTTGAAGATTTACCGAGTTTTGCATGCCTTGACCATTGCTGGATAGCATGTTTCCAGATGAAACCATATTTCGCATTCCTGGGGAACCAATCCTTGGAAAACCCGGCCTTGCAACAGGTGCACATCGAGCAAGTCCAGTCATCATTCCCATACCATTAGCACCAGGCATCATTCGAACACCACGATCAACTCCAGCAGGCAACACACCAGGAACAGAAACTCCAGGTTGCTGAAGATTTCTGCCATTAACCATATGAGTATACTGAATTCTTTGTTGTTCGTCGCCCTGTAAAGAGGTAGGTCTAGGCACACCATACCTTTGAGCATACATGCAGAAACAAACATTAAAAGACAAATTTATTCAGTATCAGCTAGAGAGGACAACAGGGTCATTTACCTAGACGGGGCATTCAATGTTGAAGGTGACGGCAAACTGCTTCCTAGTACCATACCAGGAGAACCTGATAACCTTGGGTTCACATTTGAAGTTGGAAGAGCAGGACTAATTGCACCGTGATGGTTCGGAAGCGTTAACACATTTGTATGTGATCCCGGGTAACCAACGGGAAGTGCATCCGGAATTGAAGTTATTGTGTCACAAAGATCAAGTGGCCTATAAATGTTTTGAATTAGAAAGAAGCATAGAACACAAAATGACCAGCAGTAGCTGGATTAGATAAGAATACACTGAATAATATAGGGGGGCGCCAATTAACATCTAAAAAGGTTAGTTTGAAGTGTATGCACATACGTCAAAACGCCACCAGAGAAGTTGCTTGTGCACACTTGAGAAAGTGCAAGAACATGAGAAGTATGAAGTGGATTTATTGGCTTAAGCTCCTGCATTTCCCCCTTAATGACCAAAAATGAATACACACATAAAGGACAGACAGAGAAGAGAATCATGTCAGCAAGCAAATATTGATAATACTCAATGAGAACGATAAACAAAACACACAAAAATTACAGCAAATTGGAAGGAAACATCAGTAAGATTATCAGACCAACCCAAGTAGCAAGGTTAAATCAGGAATTACATTTACATTGAAAAGCATGCACATGTCTCCTGTTTGGAGGAAATATCATATCATGATCACTGTACCCAAATTGTCATACCCCTATGGCGTATCGGGGTGTGACTTGCAAACAACTGTTATGTGATTTCAAGTGAAAATACATTGCTTCAACCTAGCGAAACCTAATCAAGAAACGGCGCAATATCGTCAATTTATATTTATACTTGATGTTCTTCCAAAAATGATCAGGGAAAAAGGTGAGTAAACTATGTAGTTTGCTTAAGATCAGGATCCAGTGGTCACCAGATTCCACACAAATTTGGTGGCCAGTTTAAGTACAGAAAACTATAAAGTGAGACTCGGCAAACCTAGTCCTGCCCAGAAATAATCCTTGTTTCAGTCAGAATCAGAAAACAAATACAACAACAACAACAACAAAGCTTTTAGTCCCAAACAAGTTGGGGTAGGCTAGAGGTGAAACCCGTAAGATCTCGCAACCAACTCATGGCTCTGGCACATGGATAGCAAGCTTCCACGCACCCCTGTCCATAGCTAGCTCTTTGGTGATACTCCAATCCTTCAGGTCTCTCTTAACGGACTCCTCCCATGTCAAATTCGGTCTACCCCGCCCTCTCTTGACATTCTCCACACGCTTTAGCCGTCCGCTATGCACTGGAGCTTCTGGAGGCCTGCGCTGAATATGCCCAAACCATCTCAGACGATGTTGGACAAGCTTCTCTTCAATTGGTGCTACCCCAACTCTTATCTCGTATATCATCATTCTGGACTCGATCCTTCCTCGTGTGACCACACATCCATCTCAACATACGCATCTCCGCCACACCTAACTGTTGAACATGTCGCCTTTTAGTCGGCCAACACTCAGCGCCATACAACATTGCGGGTCGAACCGCCGTCCTGTAGAACTTGCCTTTTAGCTTTTGTGGCACTCTCTTGTCACAAAGAATGCCAGAAGCTTGGCGCCACTTCATCCATCCGGCTTTGATTCGATGGTTCACATCTGCATCAATACCCCCATCCTCCTGCAGCATTGACCCCAAATACCGAAAGGTGTCCTTCTGAGGTACCACCTAGCCATCAAGGTTAACCTCCTCCTCCTCACACCTAGTAGTCCTGAAACCGCACATCATGTACTCGGTTTTAGTTCTACTAAGCCTAAACCCTTTCGATTCCAAGGTTTGTCTCCATAACTCTAACTTCCTATTTACCCCCGTCCGACTATCGTCAACTAGCACCACATCATCCGCAAAGAGCATACACCATGGGATATCTCCTTGTATATCCCTTGTGACCTCATCCATCACCAATGCAAAAAAGATAAGGGCTCAAAGCTGACCCCTGATGCAGTCCTATCTTAATCGGGAAGTCATCATTGTTGACATCACTTGTTCGAACACTTGTCACAACATTATCGTACATGTCCTTGATGAGGGTAATGTACTTTGCTGGGACTTTGTGTTTCTCCAAGGCCCACCACATGACATTCCGCGGTATCTTATCATAGGCCTTCTCCAAGTCAATAAACACCATATGCAAGTCCTTCTTTTGCTCCCTATATCTCTCCATAAGTTGTCGTACCAAGAAAATGGCTTGCATGGTCGACCTCCCAGGCATGAAACCGAACTGATTTTTGGTCACGCTTGTCATTCTTCTTAAGCGGTGCTCAATGACTCTCTCCCATAGCTTCATTGTATGGCTCATCAGCTTAATTCCACGGTAATTAGTACAACTCTGAACATCCCCTTGTTCTTGAAGATTGGTACTAATATACTCCGTCTCCATTCTTCTGGCATCTTGTTTGCCCGAAAAATGACGTTGAAAAGCTTGGTTAGCCATACTATCGCTATGTCCCCGAGACCTTTCCACACCTCAATGGGGATACAATCAGGGCCCATCGCCTTGCCTCCTTTCATCCTTTTTAAAGCCTCCTTGACCTCAGACTCCTGGATTCGCCGCACAAAATGCATGCTGGTCTCATCAAAGGAGTCGTCCAGTTCAATGGTAGAACTCTCATTCTCCCCATTGAACAGCTTGTCGAAGTACTCCCGCCATCTATGCTTAATCTCCTCGTCCTTCACCAAGAGTTGGCCTGCTCCGTCCTTGATGCATTTGACTTGGCCAATATCCCTCGTCTTCCTCTCTCGGATCTTGGCCATCTTATAGATGTCCCTTTCGCCTTCCTTCGTGCCTAACCGTTGGTAGAGGTCCTCATATGCCCGACCCCTTGCTTCACTGACAGCTCGCTTTGCGGCCTTCTTCGCCATCTTGTACTTCTCTATGTTGTCTGGACTCCTATCCAGGTATAGGCGTCTGAAGCAATCTTTCTTCTCTTTAATCGCCTTCTGGACATCATCATTCCACCACCAGGTATCCTTATCTTCGCTTCTCCTTCCCCTGGACACTCCAAACTCCTCCGAGGCCACCTTACGAATGCAAGTCGCCATCTTCATCCACACATTGTCCGCATCCCCTCCTTCCTCCCAAGGGCCCTCCTTAATGACCCTCTCCTTGAACGCCTGAGCTACCTCCCCCTTGAGCTTCCCCCACTTCGTTCTAGCGACTTTGGCACGCTTATCCTCCCACTGGACACGAATCCGAAAGCCAAAGTCAGCAACCACCAGCTTATGCTGGGGTACAACACTCTCTTCAGGTATCACCTTACAGTCTAGGCACGCACGCCTATCTTCTCTTCTCGAGAGGATGAAATCAATCTGGCTAGAGTGTTGGCCACTACTAAAAGTCACCAGATGTGATTCTCTCTTTCTAAAGAGGGTGTTAGCTACAATCATGTTGAAGGCTAGAGCAAAGCTTAAGACATCTTCTCTTTCTTGATTCCTGATGCCACAGCCAAAGCCCCGATGCGCCCCTTCAAAACCTGAGTTAGATGTACCCACGTGGCCATTGAGGTCTCCTCCTATGAAGAGCTTCTCACCAATTGGTACACTCCTAACCATGTCTTCCAGGCCTTCCCAGAACTCCCTCTTGGTGTTCTCATTGTGGCCTACTTGCGGGGCATACGCGCTGATAACATTGAGAACCAAGTCCTCAACTACCAGCTTGACCAGGATAATCCGGTCCCCACGTCTCTTAACGTCTACCACTCCATACTTGAGGCTCTTGTTGATCAAGATGCCTACGCCATTTCTGTTTGCAGCCGTCCCCGTGTACCACAGCTTTAAGCCGGTATCCCTCCACCTCCTTCGCCTTTTGTCCTCTCCATTTGGTTTCTTGGACGCAAAGGATATCAACACCTCTCCTCACCGCTGCATCAACTAGCTCCCGAAGCTTCCCTATCAGAGACCCTACGTTCCAGCTACCTAAGCGAATCCTCCTAGGCTCGGCTAGCTTCCTTACCCTTCGCACTCGTCGAGTCAAATGGAAGACCCTTGCTCATTTTCCACTACATCCGGGCGCCGATGTAGCGCGCCACTAAGGATGCGACGACCCGATCCTCGCTCACTTGCCACCGTATCCGGATCAAGATACGGCGCGCCACCTTGGGGGTGACGGCCCGGCCCTTGCCCATTTTCCACCACACCCGTGTTCCGATGTAGCGCGTCGCTGAGAGGGTTACGCCCCAACGAAAATCTTTTGGGTTTCATCTCCATAAGAGTGGCTGAGTTTTTACGTTGGCTCGCCAAGCCTATCACAACCCTCCTCCTTTACCCGGGCTTGGGACCGGCTAATCACAGAGGAAAATTTTTGAGCAACTATTGCACTTGTGGCTGAACTGGAAAAAGGATAAGTTCTGTAATGGCAACTTTTTCCCCAAAATTTTGTTCATTTTACACAGGCAAGGGATCTTATAAATGTGCATAATACTAAAAGTCTCGAGCATCTACGTGAGTGATGCCCATTTTGAAAGAAAAACCTGGCTCGTGTGAGCCTGGGTGGCAAAGCCCCAGACTCGTGAAAGTATGGGGCCATTTTGGCTCAACTCCACAGAGCGTCTAGGGGTATATATGATACATCAAACGTAAATGGGGAGAGGATAGCCAATCTTCACAAACCTAAAATGAGGATCAGCATTCTCTGCATATCCAACAGCAGCAGGTGATTGTCCTTGCAGACAGTAAGGAAGGCATAAAACAGCATAGCAAAACTACCAGGAAAAGGAAACATGGCTACTACGAGGAAGGAAAATGGCAGCTACGCCTCACGCAAAATCAAGTCAGTGTGAGGTTTTCAAAGGAAGATAATACTAACCTTTCTGCGACATGGATGCAATTTCTGCCCAAGGAATATTATTTTCTCAAAATGTGTCTTAAGAGTCTCTTCCTCAAACGGTCCTTGAAGGCGCTGAAACAGCTGTCTGGCGCTGCCCTGATATTCACACGAGGGATTCATAGTGTTAATTGTTGAAGAAATGACATTTTGTGGGCATCTCCGTGCACCTTATTGGACAAGAAAAGGTGACCTTATTCGTGAAATTTATAGCGATCAATAAAAGCTGAGCAGATTTACAGAAATCCTATAGCCACTAGATCAAGGATCTAGCAGTTAATATCATTTCTGTAAAAAAGCTACTCCCTCCGTTCCAAAACCAGCGACACTAATTTGGAACGGAGGATAGGTATAACATAAATGAGAGAGCATACCTTCGGAATGCCAGGTAATGTGGATTGATAGTGTTGAGATGAGCCTGAGTCATCTGCGCTGTCAGCGCCATCACCAGAACTTCTATCCGTCAGAAGCTTGTGACGGTCCTTACACTCATCAGGCCTTCTATATATACACTGCAAATGTCGGGATGGAAGAGTCCACCATTAAGGCATTAAGTAAGAAATTGATGACCAATGTTTTAAAGCCACCAGAATATGGTGAAAAATTTCATACACATACAAGGAAGAAAGTACTCCCTCCGTCCGGAAATACTTGTCGAAGAAATGCATAAAAATGAATGCATCTAGAACTAAAATATGTCTAGATACATCCATTCCTCTGACAAGTATTTCCGGACGGAGGGAGTAGTAATATTCAGCATTTCTAAAAAGAATTAACGTCAATCAATCATAAGTAAACGCTAGAAAAGGAAAATGGAAACAACATGGGTTAGATATTGCCTAAATAACATAATTACCTTCAGTTGGACAATGCTATTCAGTGCGTCGCTCACTAATTCCCAGTTTTGACCCATATCATGTACAAGCACCACAAGAGCCTGGTTTTTTTTAAGATGTTAGCAGTTTTCCGCAAAATGTTGCAAGATCAAGTAATTTCAGACATAGAATGACCTGATCCTCGAAATTTGACCATGGACTTCCAGGACCGGAGTGGCCAGCAGTCATCTGAACAAGAGATCAACATTTCAGTAAGTAGTTGATGAGCAAAATGCCAGAGCTGAGGTGTTGGCATGATAAATAAATAGCTTGGCTCAACTAAAACAGTTAGGCTGGAAAAACATGAGGCTAAGGATCGGCTAAGTTTTGGCTCAATGTGGAGTCGACAGCAGCAATCTGACCAACAGATCAATATTTCAGAAAGTAGTTGGTAAGCAAAAATGCCAGAGATGGCTGTGCTTGCATGCTAAACAATAATCTTAGCTGAAACAGAAAACGTTAGAAATAAAAAAATTGGCACAATCCAACAAGGGTCAGGTCAGACTGAGCTCATCTCTAGTTTAATTGAGCATGATCAAATTTGTGCTAATTTGATCTCAACTGACCTTTTTGCTCAGGCTGGGATCACAAATGATGAATATGCTAAATTTAAAGGTAAAAATCCTAAACATACTACTGAGCCAATTCAAGCAGCACAAAAGGTTAACAATCATCCCTCTATTCACGCTGGAGAACTTCATACAAGCCAGAAGCCCAGAATGTAAAATGAGGCAAGCTCGTAACAAGCCTGGCTGTCTTTTCTTGAACTCAGTTAGTTCCCAGCCCTAGTTGTGACATAAGGAAGCGCATTACAGTTCAGCAACCAATGAGAAGGAAAAGCTTCTTGGGATGGCTGCTTTTCTTGAACTCAAAGTTCCCAGCCCTAGTTGTGACATAAGGAAGCGCATACTACAGTTCAGCAACCAATGAGGAGGAAAAGCTTCCTTGGTAATTGGGTAGTCCATTCAGTTACAAAAGAGAACCAAAAGACCAGAAACAAAAGAGAAAGCCAAGCATAGGATGAACTTAGTTATCTACTCCCTCTGTCCCATAATGTAAGACGTTTTTTTACAAACTAGCATAGCTTGCAAAAGCATCTTACATCATGGGACGGAGGGAGTACTTGATAGTACTACAATCAGAAGTACATAAACTAAAAAAAAGGGGGCAGCCCGGTGCATGTAGCTCCCGCTTTTGCAGGGTCCGGGGAAGGGTCCGACCACTTTGGGTCTATTGTACGCAGCCTTTCCCTACATTTCTGTAAGAGGCTGTTTCCAGGACTTGAACCCGTGACCTCATGGTCACAAGGCAGCAGCTTTACCACTGCGCCAAGGCTCCCCTTCCAGAAGTACATAAACTATTAACATCAATTTGGTTTCAGCAAATAATGAATTCAAACTCAAATAGTTTTAATTGCTAACAAAGAAAAGTAATGCATGTGCAAAGAAAAATGGTTTTCATTTGTAAAGGAAAAGGCGCAGCAGAGTAAAATAGTGTCTATGGCTATATGCAGATAAAGGTGCAAGACATATATACGACCAAAATGTCAAACCTTCAGTGCTTTACTTTTTCTTCCACGATCCCGATTAGTGATGATCTTTATAATCTTCGTCGGATTTACCATGTTACTCATTTGTGATGCTGCCGGAGATGCCAGTGGGCCAACTGGTGTAAGAGCCTCTAATGAAATATCTGGTGCTTGATGTAACAGTTTAGTCTTCTTAGAAGCATGCTGACCATTTACCACTGTTAATAGATCAGCATCTAACATGTCAGAAGTTATTCTCGTGCCCCCTCAAATAAGAACCAATAATTCTCATGCTATATGCCGATAAAAATATGATGTCTGAAGCAGAGACAAAAAAAGTTACCAATATTCCCATTTGAATCAAACTGATTAGCCTCCTGTCTTTTCTTCAAATAATCCTTCTGGTACAGGAAAGAGACAGTATCCAGAAATTAGAGAAACTACATGCTTACTGTAGTTCTATTCAGAAATGTTTGGTGGTACTGAACTTTGGAGGCTCGCAGTGCTGCATAGGGTTCACTACACCCTACAGTACTCTCTTAATCTCAAACTAGAATACACTCCCATAACTCAAAGGATGACTGAAGTTAATCAATTATGTTATGCTATAGTTCACTTGTGTGCCTTCAAACATCATTTTAGCATGATGTTCACTAGTTTGTTGCTAGAACATGTATGTGTAGCCGCTTCAAAATGACTACGGGACTATTTGGAAGAATTGTAATCCTTGCTGGAGTATCAGTATTCAGTTTGACTTTACAGAAAGATTGACCAAACACAACCTAATGGATTGACCGTAAGAATGTTGGCTGCTTAATCACATACAGCTAAACATAATACCTGCTCATATTGAGCAATCAAATCAACCTGAGGCCTAGGATCATGGGCAATGGCCTGAAACATAAGCAGAATAAACTTTCTCTACCAACCACAGTTCACAGAACAATGAAGAGAATTGGCATTGAGAATCTGACCTTTCCAGACATCAAGGTATAGGACTCGGTCACACTTTGTGGTGCCTTGTACCCGGGGTGCTTAGGCTTTTTCTTCTTTTTAGACTTAGTAGACACCTCACTGCCATCATATATTAATTGTCTGTCAAAGTCAACAGTGGATTCAATTTCTGCATTCTTCCTGGGGACAAAACCGCCTTGTAATGAACTTTGATCATCTTGACAGGAGTTTGTGTCTCCACTAGAGGCATCTGTTTTACTTGTGAACTGAGGGGTTCCGGCAACACCAGCAGAGAATGGGCTTGCAACTCGCTGTCTAGCAGCTGTCCGTATGCGTTTAATAGGAATGGAAAGGAAATCCGGAGGTCTTTTACTATTCGATAAAAATGGATGGTTTCCTGGCTTGCTCTCCGAGCATGGATCATAAGGCAGGTCAACACCATTATCATACGGCCTTCTGCCATTCATCCTCTGCTGTTGTTTCTTCTTGTGACTCGATTTCGATGCCAAACCACCATCATATGTTTCAGGCAATAAATAAGTGTATGCCTCGGCTTCATCATCTTCATATGCATTTTCCCTATGTACATCTAAACAAAAAAATGAAACATTGATAAGAAGATTGCATCACGTTACAGGTATTGAGAAGGAGTGGTATATAAACCTGGAACATAATCGCATGTAGATGGCTCATAATCCTCCTTGTGTTCAGTGTTAACAAATTTCTGTAATACAGAAATAGTTAATTTGACAGTACAAGTACATGGATACAAAAGAAGTTAACTTTGGAATATATAAATAGAATGATGCAAGTAGTGAACATGGAGACTTATATGTGTAATTCCTCAATTTATAGCATAAATGTTCTTGTTAGTGATTTAACATTGAAATTACAACTGGTAATATCAAATGTCCATTGAGCCCATAACACCAATTAATCTCTTGAAAGCATCAGAACACTAAATTTAGATGTGCAAGACTTTTGTACACTCCACGACTGAAGCAACTGAAATATTTGCCAGGACAAACACCGAGTAGATTTTGTTTGAGCAACAAAACACTAAATAGTTAAAGCCCCAATTACATTTTAACAGAACTCCCCCAAGATGGAAAAAGGGCATAATTGCTGCTTTGGTGTACCGAAAGTATCATCTTACCTTATTATAAACAGATATACACCCCACAGACTCTCTGTATGCGTGCATTGCACCAGGGGCTACCTCATAAAAGAGATTTGTCTGAAAGATAGGAAATGTATCATTAACCAATATTTAGGCAAGTTCTTTGTGCATGTTCTTCTCATACTAACAAAAATGGTACCAGGCTTTATTAAGTAAATCATATAGAATGAGATGGAATGCAAAAGGACGTAAAGAAACAAGGAAATTGTCAAAACCATAGAGCCAGATAGATTACTTCTGAAAGTTCATCTGGCACTTTTAAAATGCCAAAATCATTTAGCCTGTCTGGAGTTGATGGTGCTTCAGCTAATGAAAGACACTCAGACACATTACAGTTGAACTCAAGAAACCGAAGAGCGTAACTCTGAATATAAGAGTGGTGAAACCACCTAGGCTTCTCTTGTTCAAAGGATTCGTCACCCTGTTCAAATTCCATAAATCACATCAACCTTGCAGTTACAACTTGCAAACATATCAAGCCTAATAAGTCTACAACAAAGTTTATGCACTTCAAAAAAATGACATGAAGCAACATTTGTAGCTATTTCATTCTGAGGCTACAAGAAAGCCAAAACCACCCTAGCCGTTACATGTAATACTCATCAGAATCAACGAATATGGAAAAAGAATATAAATAAATGATTAATGTTTTATTGATTTTTAATACCAGTTCTTTTTCTGCTTTGGTTCCAGCAGGCTTCATTTCTTCAATCCCCTTTGATTTCTCTATTTGTGACGCTTTAGGAATCTCACCACTAGTAGCTCGTAAAGTCTCAGCTGAACGCCAAAAATTGATTATGCCCTTGGCCAGAATTCTAGCAGCAGATTTCTGCTTTCTGCGAACACTAGCTTCTTCAAATGCTGCTCGGCCACTGGAAGCAATCCAGTTGCACATCTGGGCTGCAGCTGTACTTCTCCACAGACGCTCCTATTATATAGGATATAGTTAGGTTACATGTATGTAACAACAATGTTAAACAACAACATAAGAAATCTTATAAGTCATATGAGTGCAATGAAGAAAATAAGATCAGTTGAGGAAGTACCTGCATGAAATCATTTGCCATCCAAGCCATCTCCTCCAGAACAAATTCCCAGTGACTTTTCCGCTTCTTCTCCAAAGAAATATTGCAAAGGGCTTGTTCACCAGCTCTCTTAACGTTCAGCTGTCAAGTAATGACTCCCTTTTCAGTAACAAGAATACTGGCATAAAAGGAGAGCATTATATGACCGTACCTCTATAAACCGAGCCCTTCTAAGGATAGAATCTTCGTATTCCTTCTTTATCATAATAGGATCTTCACATTCCTTTTTCGTAACTGTTGCAGCATTTCGGCTACATTTTGTAACATCGTTGTCAAAGTTACATGTAGAATATTTAGTTGATAGCACAGGATTAGGCACATCCTCTGTGAGCGAAGCAGGGGGCACATCAACAGAAGCCAACTTATCAGAACCACTCAAAGCACTGGAACAGTTGTTGTTTCTATCCAAATCAGAACCTGCCTCCTTAGTCACTTTGTTGTGGTCAGAAGTAGCAGGACGTCCTGTATCCTTTTGCGTGTCAGCCACGTTGTTACAAACTTCAATTTCATCTTTCACAGCAGTGCAGACTTCTGGATGTATAGGAGTACATCTGTCAACCACAGCAGTGGGGCTGCTACGGCCTTCCAGTTGGTCATCTCTTTTGTCGTTGTTATCACCAAGTACTGTGTTACTCAAGCCTTCATCAGAATTTTCACCAACCTTCACTGATACAAAATTAGCATTTTTACCTGAATACTCATCAGTAGTCTTGGTGGCATCTGTACAAGTTAGATCCACTTCATTTTCATTAGATCTAGCAGTTTCTATGGCTGGCTGCAGAACAGAAGCCTCATTTTCGATATCAACTGCATGAGCATAAACCATTCTTTTGTCAGAGCAGCTGATATCTGCCTTTTCAGGAGTGTGTGCTTCTCTAAAGATTTCGTTGTGTGTAGATGGAAAAGAAGCTGTCCTTGAAGAAGCTTCTTTTGTAATAGCATGCGGAGATTCGGCAAAAGCAGCTGCACTAGGCATCTGGCCACCTCCAGCACGCTGTGAATTATCAAACACGCTGTTTGATGAGATTTCGGGAGCTAGAGTAACATGTTGGTTGTTCGTTATTTCCTGTTTTTCTTCTTGCTTGCCTTCATGAATTGCTTGAACACTGCCCATCTTCGCTGCCATTTGATTATTTGGCGCATTATTCAACATATCATTACCATTTGAACTTCTCGGTATTGGAGCCGCACTGGATGAGGCGCCATGATCATCATTTTTGGCTTCTTGTACTACAGCTTTTGCATCTTCCCGGTGAGAACTTAAAGGAGGAACTGGTGGAGACCTAATAGGCACAGTATTTACATTCTCCCTGCTTGACTTTGACCTGCGTCGAGCATACGCTTGGCTCTTTGCCCCAAGGCGGAACAGACCAGAATCTTCAGCTTCTTTTGTGTTATTCTGGCCATCATTGCAAAAGGACATCTCAGGTTGAGGTGTGTCACTTCTTTTAGTGCCGCGTTTCACAAGTTTCTCCCCACCTATTTTGCTGGTATCTCCATCTAAAAGCATAAGATTATCAGCTGTGTTGGCTTCACGACATGAACTTCCTGGTCTGCCACTACTATCAAACGAATCTCCATGAGGTGATGCAGCAAATGTGAAACTACCTTTTGCTTCACTGCAATGCAAGAAAGAACTAAAGGCTTAAATCAACCAATAACAATGTAAGTGTTATCACATGACAGATCAGGGACTAATTATCACCTCATCACATTTTGTTCGGCTATCTGATCTGTGACAGAAGTGGACTGTACACTCAGCGACACTACATGTCCAAGTTTGAAATCCAAGGGATTGCCTCCCTGCATGATAGGTGAATAAACCAGGGGAAAATGAAAATGTACAACACCATATGATGATGTAGTTCGCACGTACCTTAACTAAAAACTCAAGCTCCCTCCTCCGTTCTTCACGGACATCATATTCCTGCCTGAAGTTTGTGTACAGAAAGGTATCAGGTATCCATCAAAAACGTAAAGTGAAGAATAACATGGTGGTAGATGTACCTCAGCTCCTCCTGAGCTTTCTCTATGGCCACACGGCGAGGGGAAGTTTTTGTGTCAGTGCTCAGACCACATTCAACAATTCCTCCCATAGAGCACGGCTCAGTATCCACTTGACCACAGAAGCAGGCTTTGCCCGTACATCACTACAAGCGCATTTTCTCAGAACTCCGAGCCATCAAACGAGTATGACCTCCTCATAAATTCGCAAGACACAATAAAAACCTGGCCTGTAAACCGATAGACCGTCATAAACAACACGATAACTACAGAAAACAATAATAAACAGATCTGTGAACAAATAATAGATCATGTAAACCAGAATAAAATCAATCCATACTAGAAATCAAATTAAGGGTTTTTATAAGCACAATAATTGCCCAACCAAATATGACATGCGTCGTCCTCTGCCCAATGGAACGAGCATGCGCAACGACATTACAACCTTTTGCATTCGAACAAAGCACACATAACAACAGATGGCTATCCTAACCAGTATCCGTTCATACACAGTGCATGCCCTACATAACCGGTCAAAACAAATATCACATTTTCATCTATATTCCACGTCATCTCACACACTTGGAGCGACACACCGTGCCAACATCTCAAACCACGGCGCAATTCAAGCCCACCCATGCCAACGACTACTGCATACACACTGCCGAATACATAGAGAAGACTAGCACGGGCATTCCTCCGCGCGTAACACAAATGATGAAGCGCAATTCAAGAGCAACAGCACAGTAACGCCACTCGAACATGTCACCACACGTTGTCCCCCCCGCAGCACGGTGCCTACTCAACACCTCAATTGCGACCCTAGGCGACGGCGCAAGGCAGAAGGGTACCGAGGCGGGCATTCGATGTAGCAGGGGACGCACCTAGGCAGCCCGCACCGGGAGCTAGGGTTAGGGTTTGCAACGGATGAGCCTGGAAGAGACAGGTGGTGGGTCCTGGCAATAGGATGGGCTCCGGAGGAGGCCACCGAAGATTTGTATTGCGGTATTGGGTTGCCGGAGGCAGTGGCCTCGCCGGAGATCAGGGACCGGTGGGTTGCTCGCGGGCGGTGGGGGTGGTACGTCGTATGCAGGCAAGGCCACAGGAGGAACGAGGGAGAAAGGGCTGCCTTCGTGCGTGCGGGTGCGAGCGAACTGGTGCGGTCTGACCCGAACGATCGGCGTGGGATTGGGCTGGCCTTCGCGCGATCGGACTCCTTGGGGTTGTAATTCGCGTCTCGCTCTTTTTTTTCTCTATTTTTTTTAGGATCTCTTTCTTTTTCTTTTTTTAACACAGTACAGACGCAAGCGCTCATATACACGCGCATACGCTCACCCCTATGAACGCGCACACACACCCTATCCCTATGAGCACCTCCGAAAAACTGAGCCGGCATATCATCTTGAAATTTACGAAGTCACCGTAGGCACCTCGTCATCGATGGGAACGTCTCCTCCCACTGAATGCGCATCGCCGGAAATCCTGAAATAAATCCAGAAATAAATGCGAGCACCAGGACTTTTGAACCATGGTGGGCTGGGATACCACAGTCCCTCTAACCATTCAACCATTCGCGGATCTTTTTCTTTAATATAATCATTCATCTGTAAAAAAATTGCGGGTGATCTGTAAAAATATTAGCATTGCCATGAAACAATAGGACTCCCTCCGATACAAAATAGGTGTCACATTTTTGAACTCGGGTTTTAATTCAAAATTGCGATAAATCAGAGGTAGTATATATGATTTAGTAGAACAAATAAATGGGTGATGCGTTCTTTTGACAGGGACTGCCGCCAAATCGATAAAAACTTTTGACACGGCCAACGTCGTGTGGATTCTCTCTGTCAATAAAAATACTACGTAGTTAAATATTTATGTGTCGCTACAGTCCTGAATATATATATCTATTAATAGAAGGAGAAGCGTTTCTTATCATCATAATTTCCGTACGCCATATTTTCATCCATCCGTTCGCTCCTGTTTCTTCGCACGTCCGATGAAACGAATTGTCACACGACTGAGCTTAGGCTCATGAACCCGGCCTACCTATCCTGGCCCATCTAGCTGAGGCAAAAATAGTGGAAAATCTTGACCCATCGGAGGAGGCAAAAACTTAGGCTCATGAAGCCGGCCCGCCTATCCTGGCCCATCTGGCTGAGGCAAAAATAGTGGGAAAACCTGGCCCATTAATAGTGGGAAATCCTGGCCCATCGGAGGATGCAAAAATAGCTATCGTTGTGAGAGGTTGAACTCAGGATCTCAGGTCTTACGACCGAAAGTGGTAGCCAACTAATCAGTTTCAACTTGCAATGACAAAAGTGGATTGGTTAGTTTACTAAATACTCTCACCTCAGTCCCTTACAGGTAATCTCATCAATTTATATACGTTTTTAAGTTTTCTTGGTATCAAATAAGCTGTGGGATCAATAAATAGAGGTTCAAACATATAAGGAAGCAAAGATAAAAGAGGCTTCGTTGGAGAACTTTAGAGAGATTAGCATTAGCAGTAAAAAACTGCTTAGGACGTGGCCTTGGGAATCAGAATAGACAGAGCTTCGGAGAAGTAAAAGATAAGGAAGGAGGAGGCTTTCTTAGTTGGATACAAAACATGCAGGAGCAAGGGAAAAAAACAGCCTGGCACGCCGGCGTCAGAGGGCCACGTCTGTACACCAGCGCTAAATGACAACAACTTAAGAAATCTATACCGCGACGAGACGCTAGAATTTGAGATCCTTCGGCAAGGATGATGTGGAGCGACTCCTACTGTAGGGCCTCGCATGTCACGACGCAAGCGGAAGACGCATCCTTGAGCGCCAGGATCCAGCATCTCTGTGCACCATCGCCTCGTTCTGCCTCTTCCCTCACATGCCCCCGCTATACCGCAGCCAAAGTTTCGCCGCCTCCCATGGCTGACTTGCCACATCAGCCAGTCCGGCGGCCGTACTCATCGCCGAGTAAAGCTCTGTCAGATTACCGTCCTCCCAAACTGTTGTTGTCGTAGTTGTGATAATTTATTTTCCTTCTCTGGTTCTAGATTGGATGGATATGGAAGGAAGCAAGTTGAATAGAGAGAGAATGAGACGATACGTTGTGGTTAAAGGCTGAAAAAGAAGAGAAAATCCTAGATGGGACAAGGACAAAGTATGTGGTGGTTAAAAGTTAAAAAAAAGCTTTCTTCATCTTGATTTCACACCATCGATTTTTCTCTCATCCTTCAGTAATTCAGTTTGCTTCTTTTTACTATACTTTCTCTCATCCTTCAGTAATTCATTTTGCTTATTTTTATTATATTCTCTCTAGTTATAGCCCGGTTGATCCTAATATCTTAGGAAGGTCGTGCTTGGGAGGAGACACGTTGGATCCTATACTTCAACCCCATGATCAACCGGGATTCTAGCGCGGTAGCGCCCACCCTGTCATCGAGCTCAACACTTTGCTACCTCGTGGGGTGGGCACACCAACGGCAATGCGAGGGGTGGGCGTTGCGACCTGAGAACAAAGGCACGATTTCATTGCATAATTCAATAATCAACTTGGAAGTTGTTTGTTAAAAACTTTAAAATATCTAAATTGGCAGAGATAGGCATGCCCTCCATCTTCGCTCGTAGGTGGTGAACTCCAAATCTAAATTTGAATGCTAGATCTAATATTTCAGCGCATGTTAATTCTAGCAATGTATGGTCTTATATGCAGATCGCGACATGGATCGTCGACGTGCCACACCCTGTGCTCAGGGGCGGGGGTTGTCGGTGTCAAAACCGGCAGATCTCGGGTAGGGGGTCCCGAACTATGCGTCTAAGGCTAATGGTAACAGGAGGCAGGGGACAAGATGTTTACCCAGGTTCGGGCCCTCTCTATGGAGGTAATACCCTACTTCCTGCTTGATTGATCTTGATGATATGAGTATTACAAGAGTTGATCTACCACGAGATCGTAGAGGCTAAACCCTAGAAGCTAGCCTATGATTCTGATTGTTCTTGTCCTATGGACTAAACCCTCCGATTTATATAAACATCGAAGGGGGCTAGGGTTACACAGAGTCGGTTACAGAGAAGGAAATCTATACATCCGAATTGCCAAGCTTGCCTTCCACGCAAAGGAGAGTCCCACCCAGACACGGGACGAAGTCTTCAATCTTGTATCTTCATAGCCCAATAGTCTGACACAAGTACATAGTTCGGCTGTCCGAGGACCCCTTAATCCAAGACTCCCTCGGTAGCCCCTGAACCAGGCTTCAATGACGATGAGTCCGGCGTGCAGATTGTCTTCGGCATTGCAAGGCGGGTTCCTTCTCCGAATACTCCATAGAAGATTTTGAACACAAGGATCGTGTCCAGCTCTGCAAAACAGTTTCCACATACCACCATAGAGAGCACAATATTCCACAAATCTAATCCGCTGACAACTTTTTATAGCGTGACATCACGCTGCAGCCCGGTTATTATTCGAACCATTTTCTCAACCTGCTGTTACACATATTGCGAGGCGATTTCATTGGCACGTCTTGTCGAAGCAGAGATCATGTCCCCTTATCACGTGATTCTCATCAATACGGGTGTGGGTAACCCAACTGCGCCATCAACGCGGCGCTTGGGGAATAAGCGAGTTTACAGGGCAAGTGGGGAGGCGCATGGTTTCTACCGCCTTTATAAAGGGATAAGGATTCACCTTTTTCCACCCACGCCTTCTTCTTCCTCTGTTCATCCATTCTCCCTTGCTCGAGCTCTAGCGCCCAAGCTTTCTCCTTCTCCGCAAAGTCATTCCAAGTATGTCCGGAGCGGGAGGCAAGTGGATGGCCTCTTCCTTTAAGGAGGAGGACATCATGAAGCTTCGGGAGGCTGAATACCTCGCCGCAGACATCGCGCACCGGCTCCCTACCGAAGGGCAGATCATCCCTACCCCGAAGCCTCAGGAGAGGGTAGTGTTTCTCTCTCACTTTGTCCGTAGACTGGGATTCCCCCTCCACCCATTTGTCTGCGGGATCATGTTCTACTACGGGCTGGACTTCCATGATCTGGCCCCCAATCTCATCCTCAACATCTCGGTGTTTATCGTCATGTGCGAGGCCTTCCTCCGCATTGCGCCCCAC